CTCCCTCTGTAGGTGTCATCAGAGGGGGAAAGCCCCGCCCAAAAGTGCCCATCTCTCCATCTCATTAGCATAAACAGCAGGCCTGAGTGAGAAGCAGCCGTCTGTCCATTAGCCATTAGAATGTTGAATTTGCCCCTGTACTAATGCACAGGTGTCAGTAGCTCCGCCCTCTTCTGAAAAGAGCACAATCTTATTTGCATTTAAAGCGACAGTCACCAAAACACCACAATTAGGATCAAAGCCTGTAAGGGTCAGTTTTAGAGAGCTGGAGAACATCATCTGTGTACTGTTCTCAGCTCAAACACACACACACACACACACACACTCTAGACACAGCAGAGATGCAGCTTGTAGAAATGGGCAGAACAGATCTCCTTTAATATTTATTGACACCATACCACAAAAGCAAACAAACAAACAAAAAACAGGCCAAAGATAATGAATAAACATGAAATTTAATTAGCATTAAGCTTTGGTTGAGGTGAAAGAGCAGAAAGCGCGTTGGCTCAAATCATTAGCGGTCCTGTTCCACTCCACACGTACAGCACAACCCACAAATTCATTAAACTGCATGGATTAAAGAGAATAAAAGCTCCTAATTAAGCTTAATTAGCAGGGTCTATTAGCAACACAGATCTCAGGAGAGGCTGTCAGCGCACACAGCCAGACACTTGGACGGCATGCTTTCGTGCTCTGATTTGCTTAGATGGTTTTATTTTTGAGGACACGAATCATCTCTCTGTGAATTAAAATAAATAATTATTCTGAAACTCCGTTTATTCTTTCATGAGTCTAATATCGTTGCCATTAAAATATTTGTTCACGGAAACAGGACTGTGCTGATTCTCTTCATGAGTTCTGGATGTGTTTTGAGCATTAAACCAATCAGAGTCTCGTCTCTCATTCCCTTAAGAGTCAGTTGTGTCGCTCCATGGTGCATTTGCTCTTTACATGTCGACTCTGTAAGAGTAAAAACTGAACACTTCACTAGCGAGAACACAGATAAACAGAGCATCTGCAGCACGAGGATAAAGAACCAGCCTCCTCCATTCAGCCTCTGTACTTTACTCCTTTACTTTGGTGGAGTGAGGAAACGGTGGAAACTCTCTCCACTGAACACATCCATTAGCCCACATGTTTAATCTCCTCTGTTAAACACAAAGATTTGCTTCAAAACTGTTTCTAAATTCAGCTCTAATCTCCAGCAGAGGAATAAATGAGCAATAATAATGAAGTGTGCTCAGAAAACGGAGTTATATCCAAACACACGTCCTGTTCTTATCCATATATGCTGATGCAGACGTCTCCAAAACCCCACAGCCGGACACATCTACAAGTGTGCTTATTAAACAGATATAAATCTGCAGATAATCAATAATGCTGATCATAATGATCACATTATACAGATGAGGATGGTCATCAATAAACTGAAAAGCCCCCAGAGGTGAAGAAGGCCTGGAGGCAGTGCTGTTGAGTCCACAGAGTGATGCAAATGGATTTACTATTTAAACAACGCTGCACAAAATAAGAAAATTACTGTTGCGCTGCTCTGAAAATAGCAATAAATCAACAGGTCTGCGCCTTATTGCGCTGGGTGTATGATAGTTTGGCCGCAGTACCAAACATGACCACCAGGTGACATCCAGTTTACATTGAGGAACATACAAGGGCACCCGCTGTGTTTTGAGGAATATGCATAATATTTTTTAAATACTTTTGACAATATTTGTAAAGTAGACATTAAACTGTAAGGTAGTATGTGCAGTTTGCTAGTGTTAGACTCTAAATGCGTCTGAAAAACGTTTACATTTGGATTGCTGTAGCAGAGTAATGCTTTACCACTCTGATGAGTGTCCTTGTGTTACTGACAAATACCTGTTTCTCAGTAATATATATATCAATATCTGTCACCAGATATAGAAACTAGACATTGTCAGCTTTAAAATGATATACTTGAACACACAGCACACCAAATCCTGAAGAAGATGAACTACAACAGAAGAAGAAGAGCAGAGTCAGAATTGGGCATACGCGCCATGAAAGCATGGATCATCCTGCTGATATCTGTGGTTCTCACACTCACTTCTTATCTATCAGAAACACTGACGGCTTTTCATCTCGTCTCGTTTCTTTGGCACCTAATAACTCCAACAAATGATGGATCTGGAAATGGTAGAGAGATGAACCTCAGAGATTACACTCCACTGAGAGTGTGTTGAGTTGCACTCAGGCACTGCCCTGGACAGCCCCGCCGGGTCCCGAGCAGCCACTAAGGTCCAGCAATTCATTCCTGCTCTGCGATGCGGAGAAATCAATTACTGTCTGTATATGAGGGCAAACAGCTGAAGAAGAAAGCCATCTGACCATGCTTCATCTCTATCCTCCAGCTCACCTCTCTGTAATGCTTCTCTCCAGCAGTAATGGAGTCCACACAGCTCTTCAGTGTAAGGCATCGCTCTTTAACATCTTTAATTCCTCTTTTCTCCACTATCCTGCTCTTATAGCCTGAAATACATATAAATCCTAACAGAGACAGCAGCAGTTGAGGGCAGTGATCAGGTGATCTGCTGAATGATGATGTGATGTTCACAGGTGATGATGATCTGCTCATCAGGAAAGCTCTAGTGCTTTAGGAGCAGAGATGGGTCGAGGATCTCCAGTTTGAGCACAAACACAAGAGGAAATGAGTGAAGTGTGTGAACACAATGCTCCTCAGAGGAAGAGAGGAAGACATGTGGATATTTCACCTTCAACAGTGCAGAACAGCATTAAAGACTGAAGGAGTCTGGAGGAGTTTCAGTGTGTAAAGGACAAGAGCGCAAGCCTGAGCTGAACAACCGTGACCTCCGACCCCTCAGGGGGCGCTGCATCAAGAGTCCTCATTCATCTATAAGCAGATCAGCACATGAGCTCAGCACTACTGCGCTAAACCTGTGACAAGCACCACAATACAGAGTCACATCCACAAACACCAGTCTAAACTGTGCCAAGAGGAAGCCCTATGTTAACAGTGTCCAGAAGCACTTCTCTGGGCTCTGGGCATCTGGGATGGAGCATCACACAGTGGAGACGTGTCCTGTGCTCAGATGAAGCAGTGTTTCTGGTGTTTCTTTGGGAAATGGACGCCGTATGCTCCTGATCAATGTAGAAAAGGATCATCCAGACTGTCACCAACAAGTCCAGCAGCCCGGCTCTGTCATGGTCTGGGGTTGTGTCGGTGCTCTTGGCGAAGGTGACCTGCTCTTCTGTGATGCTCCATTAATGCTGAACAGCACAGAGAGATTCTGGAGCTCAATATGCTGCCTTCTGCTCCAGGGACGCCCATGCAGAGTCCAACAAGACAACGCAGAACCCCATTCAGCACATGTAATTGACTGGTCTGTCTGCAGTCCCGACCTGTCTCCAATAGAGAATGAGACAATGAAGTCCCTGCACTGTTGCTCACCTTGAGACTTGTTTGCAGGAAGAATGGGATAAAGTTACCCCTGAAACTCTTCATCACCTGGTGTCTTCATTCCCTAAACGTCTTTTAGGATTGTTCACCACAAAACTGTTCATCTGAGCTTTTCATTAAGACAACAAACAGAAATAGAGAAGAGGAGGAGGAGGAGGAGGAGCTGTCTGCTAGGTTGTAATAACTCCCCAAACCCTTGTCCTGATTTTTTAAAATAAATTGTTTGTTTTGTCCAGGTATTCGTTTCCTCTGTATATGTTGTCTTTAATACTGAAAGTGCTTGTTATTTTTCCAATCAGACCATTTAGTACAGGCCAAAACATGACAATAACCAATCCTTCTGACGAGCAATATCATTCATGTTGTCTTTAAATTGTTCCCTTAGTACCATGATAGCTTATTTGGTAAGTTTGTATTGAATGTGAACACAGAGAAAAGCTCTATTCACACGGGACTAGCTCACACTACACGAAGGTCAGGTCAATTTAGCTCACTCGAATGTAATTGATGAATTCAATCTTGTCCAAATTGAACATGTCTGCATTTTTTTCTCAGTCAAGCTCTAAAAATACTACCGAGTAAATGACCGGCTGTTGTTGTCAATGCAGTCGACCCCCGAGAAGATGGAGTGTTATTGTGCTTCTGTATAACACTCTTCGTTTATTCTGACCTTTGTCAGTCGGCATAACTAAAGCATATTTTCTCATTCCTCCTCCAAGTGCAGGTTCATTATGAATTTACTGCTTTTTTGGGCCAATTTATAATGAAAATGGATGTTTTCAGAACTGCTGCTGGCTGTCAGACCACAATTTGATAAGAGGAATTACAATATAATATATGCATTCACGCCATAATTAAAAACCTCAAAATGAAAATGAGATTTCAGTGTGTTTCCTCAACATCACCCCTGAGCTTCCAGACTCCAAAAGTTCATCTCTAGTCTTTGTTGTGCATCTTTTATTAGTCGAGTCAATTATTCAACAGCCCAGTGGATTTTGTGCTACTTCCATGAAGTTGTTTGAAAATGAAATGTTTTGAATAGCTCGGAAGCTTCATCTCTCGCTGGAAACGGGCTAATAAAGCTCATTAAATATTCAGTTTTCAAATAAACATTAATTTATACAAAGTGTAAACTAATATTCTAGTCAGTTTGATTGATGTAAGATGTTTCATTCATTTATTTCCCTTCAGCTTAGTCCCATATTTATCACGAGTCGCCACAGCGGAATGAACCACCAATTATTCCAGCATAGGTTTTAAACAGCGGATGCCCTTACAGCTGCAACTCAGTACTGGGAAACACCCATACACACTTATTCACACACACACTCATACACTATGGCCAGTGTAGTTGATCAGTCCCACTATAGCGCATGTGTTTGGACTGTGGGGGAAACCGGAGCACCCGGAGGAAACCCACACCAACACGGGGAGAACATGCAAACTCCACACAAAAACACACACTGACCTAAAATGATTCAACTGTGTGTGTTGTGTATGTTTTTTCCTCTCTGATTATAGGCAGTAAACAGTGTTTTTCTCTCACCTGGAACATGACTCTGTACTGCTCCTCAGGCTTCTGCACCACACACATGTTACACCCCATCCTGACCTCCGACCTCCGACTCCTTCAGGCCCTCGCAAACCAGCTCAGGTCACCGTATAGAGAAATATCAGCGCTAGTTCAGCATCTCCCAGACAGTCTGTTCACAGTCCAGTAAAATCCTCAGTATGATCTGCACTTGCTGTGTGTATTGCCTCCTCTTGTTGAATCGCTGAATGCCTCCTCAACCGCTGGACAAAAGCGTCTGCTAAATGACTGAATGTAAATGCACAGCAGGAAAGCTGTTTAAAGCATTTCACACATGCTAGAAGTCATTCAACAACACTCCATTTCATCCTAATCAGCTCTTCTGTAGGACGGTCATATCTCAAGTGTGGAGTGTGAAATCAAATGAATGCCGTTCTGCAGAAAAGTCCATTTGTGCTTGATGTGAAACGGTGTAGTGCAGCGCTTCGTCTCCTCCAGTCCCCATTGATGAGCTTAATTCAGGGAAAATCAGCATGAAATTACGTTTCTCTGCTTGCTCTTATCAAGACGTCTTCCACCGGCGCTGTCTTATTTGCTGAAATTACTCCTGAGTCAGTAAATGCAACGCTTGCGAGACGTCTAGTGTTTCAGTCTAAAGTGATGGATTGGAAAGATTGAATGTTTGGGCTGGAGATCTGCAGCTTCCCAAGAGCGGATATTGCTCCTGCATCGCCGTGTTCGACTATGAAGTTTTTGATTTAGCACAGAGTCAGATTATTCCAAAGCATTTCGGGCGAAGTGTTAATTGAGAAGCAGACAGAAGCATGAGCAGTGTGCTGGATCTGCTTTACTGTCAGCAATTTCAAGTCCTTTCATTTTGGGTTTAAAGCAAAGTTATGGGGATTTTTATTTATAGTTTAGAACTCTTAAATGCATCCGTTTTTGATAGTCCTGCTGTTAGACGATCCACACAGATGATAGAGAAGTTACTTTCAAACCAAGCAGCCTTGAACAATCAACAAAACCTGACAAATCTTAATGCCAAACTCCTCACTGCAGATTCCCATCAGTCTGCCTGACTTTCCCCTTTGGTTTTTCATTGGACACCAGTAAACACGAGCACAGCTTCATGCACCGGTCACACCTCAAATCAATAGTCTCTGGTGTTCATCCTCAGAACACGCTCAAGGAAAGTTTGACCGTTCGCACTTCATCCTTTGTGTGTTTTCCATCATCCCTCCCTCTCGCTCAGATCTGCCTCTACTTGAGTCTCTCCATGTAGGCGTTTCTCATCTCTCCGAAACTGTGAACTGTGAATTCAGTCGGATAAAAGTGCATGTTGCAGGACGAATCGGTAATCGGTTGCACATAAAAGACTGAGGTGAGAGACTCGATCCGCTTGAGTCCCACACAACTCCCACACTTAAACAGATGAGCTCAGGCATGCATCGCTCACTCAGAACACGACCAATATCAGCTGCGCATCATACGCAAATAAAAGTGTGGAGCAATGAGTATGCATTTACTTTCTAATCAAGCTCCGTTTATCAATATCCAGATCAATTCAATTAAACAACACAAGAACTTAATAGGGATCACAGGCGCTCTCTGTCTGACACAAATCGATATCCTTCTTAATAAGATCCCAGTTGGATGCTTTTGCTGCTCGGTGACTTGTGAAATGTAATTATCAGACACAGTCTTTGTCTTTCAGCTCGCACCGTTTGCTGCAGAGGTGCGATGTTAGACGCGCAGAAATCTCCAAACCTGTTCCTAGACTTGAATCTGAGGCAGCACACACCAGACACTCCTCCGTTTGTTAGTTATTGTGTCTGCTTTAAGTCCATCCAGCAAGTTCCAGTGTGTCTAGTCAGTTGATTCAACTACCTGTGCGCACTTTATTCAGACGTCAGCTCTTTAAATGGAAATCGCGCAGCTTTAATCCTGTTAAACTGTGAGAAGCGTGTGTGTTGATTCAGGCACCCTGCTGTTGTAGATTGCAGGCTAGCCATTCACGCTGCAGTAACCTGCCAGACACACTCAACATGCTCCGAGAAGCTAACAGGCGTCGCCCTCTCTCTCTCACTCACACACACACACACACACACACATGCACACATGCACACATGCACACATGCACAGACAGAAGTGTCAAATGTTAACACACACACACACACTCACCAATGCACACTGGTGCATTCACCTGGAGTAAGAGTAAATGCTAGACATCTTCAACTAAACCCTCCTCATTGCTCTTCTCTCTCTGAGCACTCTGTATAATTGTTGTGTGTGTTGCCTCCTCTCGTTGAATCGCTGAATGCCTTCTCAATTGCTTCCTGCTGACTGTGAATGTTACTATCCGACATCAACACACCCTTCACATGAAGACACGCTGAAGGAAAGTCAGGTATGATGGAGAGGCGTGTCTGTCATCCCTCCTTCTCTCTCTTCTTCTTTCCAAAAAAGCTGAATCCTTTTGTTTGGGAAAGATGTGAGTAATCCATCCTGACTGTTGCTGTACAGAAACCCCCAGTCGCTGTTTGTGGTCCGGCTGAGAGTGTTTTCTGAGCGCTGCGTCTGTGTTGAGGACCGGCAGGTGAGCTGAGTTCTGCTGTCTCTCGATCCTGGTGTGAAACGCTGAATAAACTCCCCCACTGCAGCCCGGAGAGAGAGAGAGAGAGAGAGAGAGAGAGAGAGAGAGAGAGAGAGAGAGAGAGAGAGAAGGGGAGAATAAGAGCCACACAAAGGCATTAACGCCCTGTGAAGCCACAGACACAGACACACACACACACTAGCGCTCGCACTCACTTGCAGAGTAGTATAGGATGCAACAGAATTATACATCCTCTCTCTCTCTCTCTCTCTCTCTCACACACACACACACCATAATGCTTGCGCTCACTGGCAGTACTTTAGGATGCAACAGAATTCAACATTCTTTCTCTCCTCCGTACACACACACACACACACACACACATGGATGTGTGTGAATGGATGTGTGTGAATGTTTCCAAGTAATGGGTTGCGGCTGAAAGGACATCTGCTGTATAAAACATATGCTGGAATAGTTGGCGGTTCATTCCTCTGTGAAGATCCCTGATTAATAAAGGACTAATCCAAAAAGAAAATGAATGAATGAATATTGCAGATTTCTAATAAGCAGTAAAAGTGTAAAAATGAACCACAATGCAATGCATATTATCCAACTGCTCGTTAACACAAATGTCTACCAATCACAGGGCAGCAGCTCACTGCATATAGACATAGTCAAGACAATCTGCAGAGCATCGAATGGGGAAGAAAGGGGATTTAAGAGACTCTGAACGTGGCATGGTTGTTGCTGCCAGACGGGCTGCTCTGAGTATTTCAGAAACTGCTGATTTTCTACTGGGATTTTCACGCACAACCATCTCTAGGGTTTACAGAGAATGCTCCGACAAAGAGGAAATATCCAGTGAGCGGCAGTTCTGTGGCCGCAAATGCCTTGTTGATGAGGCCAGAGGAGAATGGCCAGACTGGTTCCAGCTGATAGAAAGGCAACAGTAACTCAAATAAGCACTCGTTACAACCGAGCTCTGCAGAAGAGCATCTCTGAACACACAACACGTGCAACCTTGAGGCGGATGGGCTACAGCAGCAGAAGAGCACACCGGGTGCCGCTCCTGTCAGCTAAGAACAGGAAACTGAGGCTACAATTCACACAGACTCACCAAAACTGGACAATAGAAGATTGGAGAAACGTTGCTGCTCTGATGAGTCTCCATTTCTGCTGACACATTCGGATGCTCGGCTCAGACAACATGAAAGCATGGATCATCCTGCCTTGTATCAGCGGTTCAGGCTGGTGGTGGTGGTGTAATGGTGTGGGGGAGATTTTCTTTGGGTCCATTAGTACCAATTGAGCATCAACGCCACAGCCTTTCTTGAACATGGCAATGAGTTCACTGTGCTCAAATGGCCTCCACAGTCACCAGAGCTCAATCCAATAGAGCAGCTTTGGGATGTGGTGGAACGGGAGATTGGCATCATGGATGTGCAGCCGACAAATCTGCAGCAACTGTGTGATGCTATCATGACAATATGGAGCAAAATCTCTGAGGAATATTTCCAGTAGCTTGCTGAATCTACGACACCAAGAGTTAAAGCAGCTCTGAAGGCAAATGAGGTCCGACCCGGTACTAGTAAGGTGTACTGTAAAGAATATATGTGGTATTTTACCAGGCATTTTTGCAATGCATAACTGTAGACGTGTGCTAAAGTCTAACAGAGTACTCACAAACAGATATGAGCACTGAGCAAAGGGTACTGTAGGACTAAAATCACTATTTTCAAATAAACAAACAGACAAACTAATGCCCACCCCCCCCTCTCTGTCTCTCCTGAATAATGCATTTGAAAACTGCCGTGTGTGCTGATGGATAGATGTGATATTCATAAGGTCATGTATTCATGTCTATCATGCATGATTCAGGTTTGAGATCTTTGGGAAAGCTGAATCCTTTATTTTCCACACGGATGAAAGCGTCAGCGGCGAGATGAGACCTGTGGATACACACTAATGCTTGTGTTCAGGTGTGCGGGTGTCATCGTGTGTCGTTTCATGTGGACGTTTATTCTGCTGATGGACACAAAGAGCAACTGAAAGACAGAAAGCAAAGGGGGAAGAGAGGATGAGCCAACGAGGAACACAACAGAAACTCGGTAACAGGTGCGAGACCCTGATGAAAGCTGAGAAACAGCCAAGAGCAGCTCCAATGTAATTAGTGTGTGTGTGTGTGTGTGTGTGTGTGTGTGTGTGTGTGTGTGTGTGTGTGTGTGTGTGTGTGTGTGTGTGTGTGTGTGTGTGGAGAAGAACCCCAGAGACAGGGTTTTTGCAGCTTGTTTATGGACATTACCCTGCTTCCTCAGACAGTAGACAGATATGCAGCAGAATTTCCCGTGTCATTAGTTTGGGATCGTGTGATCTCCGCTGTGTTTAGAGATGTTTACAGCTGTTGAACACTCAGAGCTTTATCTCCTGCTTGTATTGTAAAAGCAGGCTAAGATTACATGTGCAGCATCATTCCGCCGTTCAGTGTTCATTACTGTGTTTGTTGGACTCTTACAGCAGCTTCATATCAATCAAAGGTCACTTTAGCTTTCTCACAGCATACAGTTATGATTGCTTATTGAGTAGAATTGCTCTGATTGGTCAGATGACTCTACTCTGCTCTCATTTGCTTGGATAATTGGTCAGACTGCTTCTTTTTCTGATTGGTCAGATAATTCCTCCTCTTCTATGATTGGGTCAGACAGTTCTACTTTTTCTGATTGGGTCAGATGACTTTTCTCTGCTCGGATTGGTCAGATGACTATACTTTGCTCTGATTAGTTAGTTGACTACTCTTCTCTAATCGGTCAGATGACTCTTGTCTGATTGGCCAGATGACTCAGTTCTTTTCTGATTGGTCAGATGACTCTACCTTGCACTGATTGGTCAGTTGACTCTACTCTTTTCTGATTAGTCAGATGACTGTACTTTGCTTTGATTGGTCAGATGACTCTGCTCTTTTCTGATTGGTCAGATGACTGTACTTTGCTTTGATTGGTTAGATGACTCTGCTCTTTTGATGAACTAAATTGGCTATAGTGTATGAGTGTATGTGTGTGAATGAGTGTGTATGGGTGTTTCCCATTATTGGGTTGTGTCTGGAAGGGTATCCACTGTGTAAAACATCTGCTAGAATAATTCATTCCGCTGTGGCGACCGCTGATAAATAAGAGACTAAGCCAAAAGTAAATAAAGGAATGAATATTAATGATAATGTATATTAAATATAGAGCAAACAATGTTCCAGCACATAATTAATCTGAACTGTGCTCAATACAATGATGCCAGAAAGAATCAGATAATTGCTTGCTGTAAACATCATTGACTGCTGTTTTTCTTATATAATCTTTAGTTTTTGCAAATAAAAGATTGAAGGATGTCTTCCAAATCCTAATAGACATGTCAGAATTCAATGAAAAGTAATTTAATTTGCTCTGAAAGGCTACAAACAAGGCACATCCTAATGTACAGAAACAGCACACGTCTATAGATTAGATGCATGTTGCTCTGCTTTGGTTTTTGCACCATATATTTCTCAATATTTGTATTTATTTATCACAATTACACTGGACAAACCTTATGCATTAGTATAAGTGTTAGAGCAGACATGCGCATGTTGTCCAAGAAAGGCTTGACATAAACAAACATAATAATAGTATAATACTAACAGCACTGTGTCCATCAGATGAACTTCTCTCTGCTGGGTTGTCTGAAACAGAAGTGACCCAGTCTGTATTTTAGGCGCTTTATAATTCATGAGACGAGAGGTCTTGTCCATTTAGTCTTTGCAAGCTGTCATTCAGCTGCTAATGAGCAGTAATGGACATCCAGAGCGTCTTAAAGCAGGCCACGCCCACTCCTTCCAGCAGCCAATCAACAGTCAGGAGAACAATCAGCTGTGTGAATAATCAGTGCGATGTTGATCAGAACCGTGACGCATTGTGGAATGTGAAGTGAAATATCAAGTGCACAGTGTTCCTACAGAAACAGTTTGACTCTACATTATACAGAGTGATATTAAGGCAATCATTTAAAATACATTATTATGTCCTGCAAACTGCAATGTACAGGTCTGGGGTTCACACTACTCATTCATTTTGGCCTTTTATAGTACGTTATTATTTTAAAACAGCTCCAGATTTGACTTCACTACTGATTAACCTAATGTACAGCTGTAGTCAGAATTATTCACCCCCCTGTTTATTTTGTTCCCCAATTTCTGTTTAACAGAGAGCAGATTTCCTCAGCACATCTCTAATCATAACAGTGTTAATAACTCATCTCTAATAGCTGATGTGTTTCCTCTTCATCATGATGACAGCACATAATATTAGACTAGATATTCTTCAAGACACTAGTGTTCAGCTTACAGTGACATGTAAAGGCTTCACTAGGGTAATTAGGGTAACTAGGCAGGTTAGGGTAATTAGGCAAGTTATTGTATAATGATGTGAGGCGATTGTTCTACCCATTGCGCCACTGTGCCCAATTTGTTTAGATTACTTATTTAAAATGAGTTAAAACAACAATTCTCAGTTTTTTTTAGGGTCAAATTAATTGTTTAATGTTCAATGAAGTTTAATTTGTGAAAACAATTAAGTTAACTTAATAGATTTGTGTTGGGACAGGATGAATGAATTGTGTGAAACCCAGTCTTTTTATAGCGTATGGAAGTCAATGGTTTCCAACATTCTTCAAAATATCTCCTTTAGTGTTCAGCGGAAGCAAGAATCTTCTGAAGTACAGGTTCATGAGCACTTGAGAGAGAGTAAAGAGGGAGTAAATTGCAATTTTTGAGTGAACTACCTCTTTAAGCTAAAACTTCTACATGCAACAATAGACGTATAGTAACAGAAATGAAAAGCAGACATGAAGGACCCATTTTAATCATTCAGAAACACAGACGGCGCCACATGTCTTTTGTAAGGTTAAAGCGGTGAAGTCTGCGCAGACAGAAAGACAGAAAGCTGGAAGCAGTGCGAGCAGAATTTTAACAATGCTCTCATCATTTATTTAGCTCTGGAGGGGTTGAGGCAATCATTAAATAACCCACCTGACAGACAGTGCAGCAGAGATCTGTGCATGTCAAGGTCTGTTTGATTTCTTTCGAAGCCTGTTTACCGATCCATATTCATATTACACCATGCATATTCATGAAAGCAGCAACAATATAAACTGGGAATCAAATGGCGATCAGTCAGTCAGATTATGGAGTGATTTG